CTCTCATCAGGTTTTATTTTACAATTTTTAAAGAACAAATATTCTTCATGTTTACATGTACAAGGGATGCTGAGAAATTCTTGGCCTGACCCATTTTCTAAAAATCTGAACAAATAGTAAAACATCAAATTTCTGATTCAGGTCAAGAACTTTTCAGCACCTCATGGTAGAGACAATGATACGTTTTTCTCAAACAATATTACACGTGATGGACAAGGTGGTTTTAAAAGGGTCATGTGTTGGTTGAAATGTGTGTTCCTCTTTTCAGGAGTGCTAAAAACTCAATAAATTATTTTTTTTATTTTTTTAAATATTTTACCATTATGAAATATTTGGTGATTCTTGTAAGAAATTAAAATTTTAAAAAGTGATGGTTTGTATATTTTCACCTGGTTCTTTATTGCCAAATTATTTTTTACAAACTTCAAACAAATTCCAATCTTGGAGACTTATGATTTGCCAGTGAAGCAATCTTCATAACATATTTTGATATTGTAGAGGTAAGTTTATAACTTTTTATGTTACTGAAGGCTTAATTGAATACTGCATCATGGAAGAAAAATCATAGGGTAGGAAAAAGTCTTAACCTGCTTTCGCCTGATTGTGAGTATCAAAAAAATCCATTAAGCGATATTTTTGTTTTAAATTGCTATTACAATATTGCTTTAAGTTAATAAAATTATATAAAATAAAAAAGTTAATGAAATAAATAATTTCAATTAAAATAAAATTAAATTAAATAATAAATGTTGTCAATAATTTTTACACTTAATTCAAGTAATATTTTTATTACCAAACTTTTTTTTTACTTATGACTTTGTACCTAATCAAAGAGTACATTCTGACTTTTTTATCTGCTATTACTTTTTTTCCAGTACAGCATGGATGTGAAAGAAAGAATATGTTGCGCTAATTTTCTCCGTGATGAGATCCTGCATTTAAAATTAGCTTTTGAATTCTTGAACTTTATTATTTGGTTTCGAACATTTAACAAGTGAGAAAGATACGCGGCAACCATGAAGCACTTTGACTTATCGAAACGAAAAAAAAAGCTGTAAAATTTTAAATATTTTCAGATATTTTTTTTATAAATGTATGATGCCATGGGAAATGAAAACGGCTGTTAAACAACCATTGAAGAACTCAACCAAACTCTTTTTACTCAGGAGAGAGGGAAATATGCTAAGTCAGTTGATCTTTAATCGATAATTTTTATTTTTACTCAAGAAAGATGAAAAGGAAAAATTTTACAAAATGTTTCTCTACACTGTTTTATTAAAATAAAAATGATCGTCTCTTAATGTTTTGTCTTAAACTTCAGCCCTGAAAGACAAGCTACAAGTTTTAAAATGTTACTTATTCGTGATGAAAAAAAGTTAGAACTTGGTTCAATTTATGTTCTTAACCGTAAAATACTACTTTTTTTTTTAAAAAAAAGTTATAATTTTTTATGGTTTCGTAATCATAAATTCAAACTCGTTCTTTCGCTATATATATCTCGCAATTTTATTAATCGTCTTAAAATTGGGCGAAAAATAAAAATTACATACACTTCCAGTGCCCACTGTAGGAACGACAACCAATGAACCACGCAAACTGCATATTGAAAAAGGGAAAGGAGGAGATTCCATCTTAGAAATTATAATGACTTACCGAGAATTGAGTTTGTAATCTTAGATGTTAAAAATATCTGTAGAAACCAGTAGTAGGCGGATTGAAAGCAGAGAATCTTTCAAGAACTCATTGCGTGGGCAGCTTTTTCTGTACTTATTCTTCACGCTCCTTAATTCAACTTTAATTAACGCAGGTTTTTTTTAAATTTTAATTGTCAAAAAAAGTAAAACTGTCATAGTCATACACACTCTCTCTACCTACCAGTTTTCGTATTTTAATTCATATCGCGCGTGAAATTAAATTTTAAATTTATCCAGATAAATTATTAGACTTTTTGAGCAAGAGCAAGAAGACGGTAAAACAAATTGATTTAAAAATATAAAACAATTTTTTTTTTTTTTAGTAAATTTACAAATTTAAATCAAGTGTATTATGAAAAAAGTAAACTAAAAAATACATATGGGAAATAAAGCACTTTTCCTTCGATACATGACTTGTTGCTCGCCTGGTCTGCTGAACAAATAAGGACAAGAGAAAGGTATACTTGTACTTATTTTAGAAAGAGTCATTTTGAAGTGAAACAATAATTATTACCGTACAAATTATTAGAAACTGGCCAAAAACCAATCCACAACACAACTTAAAAACTAAAAAAGCAAGAAGAAATGAACTATAACCAGCAATACCTGCTTTTTTTTATCTACTTCTTCAACTAAAACCACATGGTCTTAAAGTACAAGACCTTACTGCTAACAAAAAAAAAAAGCAACACACACAACAAAAGCTAAAAAGGAAAGAAAGGGTGATTCCAACATTTCTATACAAGAAATAAACTCTGGGTAACCATTTTTTTGCGACCTCAATCAATCAATCAATCAATACCCATTTCAAACGAATGACGTTTCGTTTGGGTTTTTTTTATAAATAAATTACAATTTATCACAATTATTAATCTTTCATTAAGACCATTTATACATGACTAAGTAAGTAATATTACAACAAAATGCGGTACTTATTGTATTTACTTTTTCATTCAACAGCAAATCGTTGACACAACGCGTGCAATTTTACTACTACAAAAATCGACCTTGGCTCAGCGGTATGCTCGGGAGCTGAAGGTAAAGAGGTTCGATGAAAAAATAATAATAAAAAAAAAAAATGTATGCGAGGCTCACGTTAAGTTACATTTTGACATTCAAAGCAATACCTTTGCTGTTAATGGCCAATTTCCCCATTTGCAAAATCACTTTACTTCTTTCATTCAACTACAGGTCATAACCTCACAAGCACAAGAAATCATTAGTGAAGAAAACTAAAAAAAAAAAAAAGGAAGGCGTTTATCACTGTTAGTGTTAACTTACGGCGTTCTTAATCTTTTAACATTGACTGTTGTTTTTATTACACCCCCAATGCAACTAATAGCACTACGATTTTAGAGAAAGTATGTAGTGAGTGGGTATGTAGGAGTAAGATAAAAAAACGGCCTTTATTATTTAGGAGATCGACTTTTACAACTACAACTGCTGAAGCCACGTCTACTGCAACTACTCTGATTATGATATCTACTTCTGCTACTACTCCCACGTTATCATTTGCTACTCGTCATTCAGTATTATCATCTACTCCTACTCTCTCTCCTTCTTCCATTTGATTGATTACTCCTCCTCCTTCCATGTAAATTGTCTGCGCTTTCTTTGAGTGTATCTCTCCTCTTCGCACATCCACACCACCAAACATCGGCGTACGTAATGTACGTACGATTGTCGCCGTGCCCTTCCCGCTACTAACAATAACAAGAAAAGAAAACAAACCAAGAAACAAAAACAACCTATCTACCTTTTTTTCCTTTATGAAAAAAAGGGGACAAAAAATTTAAAGTTAGATTTTGAAGAAAAGATAAAGAATACCTAACCTTTATTTCTGATTTTGGGGTAGGCCAACAAGGTTAGGTATCGATGTTCGGAGGAGGAGGATAAAAAAAAATACAGACAGGCAGCTACCAACGACCACTAAAACAACGTCACCACAATTATAACAAAAACGAAGGCGACCACGATAACAGAGACGGGAAAGAGGAGAAAGGGGCATACCGCGGCTGCAATACTAATAATTATAAAAATAATAGTTCTAAGTTGTTGGTCGTCGTGTCGTCCTCATCTTCTGTTTCCCGCAGCCGTTTCTTGGATGGATGGATGTTTCTTTCTCCGTGCAGAACCAGTCAAAATCAGAAAAAAAGAATCGGTTCCAATAGTCCGAGTCAAAGCTTTGAAGGCCAGCAGCAAATATGGATGGACACACGTTGTATATCATCATCATGCCTGTCTCTTGTCTCTTCTTGTCTAGTAGCGGCAGACATACACGTACGAGGTAGTCGAAGACGACGGAGAAGACGAAGGATAATAATAAAAAGGAAACGAAAGAAGGGAGAAGTCCAAGTTAGAGGAACTTGGTTGCGGCTACTGTTTGTAAATGTGTGTTGTGCAATCAAAGTACACGACACCCAATCAATCACTCATCGTCGCCAATATTCACCTCCACCAAAGTCTGCTCCTCATCCAACTTAATGCTTATCCCACCCTGTCGTCAATCAATACGCCAGTTCATAAAAAAAACAAAAAACAACACCCTTGAATTCATCTTGAATAAAGAAACAAGCAGATAAAAAGGTCAAGTTTTAAAAGTTTGGGGGTGTTCAAAAAAAGTATGATATTTTAATATCCAAACCACATGTATATAAAAAGTCACGTAAAAAAAATACACTGAAGTAAAAAAAAAAAAAAAAAAAATTTATAAAAAAAAAAAGTAATTTTTTGTGCGTGTGATTTATTTTTAAAATTCTTTAACTATTATTCAGAAATCTAGAGGCTGTTTCTACTAAAAAAAAATCAACTATTTTTGCTTGGGAAAATACTTTGAGGAAATAAAACCAACTCAAATAAAACTAACAACTAAATAACAAACAAAAAACAGTAAAAACACCAAAACAACTTGACAAGAGACAATATTTCAAATTCAAGCAGTCACATTTCAATGTAAGTACAGTACATACAGTCTGTACGTATACAATACATGAACTAAATGTGTTAAGGCAAACTGTGTACACTGTAATAAGTTACACTAGTTTGCAAATTGCTTTGTAGCTAACTAAACCATTTCACTTTGTATTGTTATTAATTTTAAAAGGAAACTATTTGGTCGGAAGTGGTTTGTTTTTAAGTGGGTGGGGTTTGTGTGTGTCGGTGTCTACTAACTGAGCATAGACCGTGGCGGCTGTACAGTGGCGGCAGGAGGAATCTCCGTCACCGTCCGCGAGGAGGAGTCGAGAAGGAGAAGAAAAAGGACAAGAAGGTGCGGCGGCGACCAGCACCAGCAGAGGAGACATAAATATGTTCAAGTGTATACCCTTGTTCCCGGCGTGTAACAGGCAAGTGGAGTACCTGGACCGGCGACATTGGAACCTCATCACTGTACCTGATGATGTTCTTCGATACTCCAGGAGTTTAGAGGAGTTACTTTTGGATGCCAACCAAATCCGGGAGTTACCACGGGTACGGCAAAAAATTACTATCTCCACATGGCTATTAAAAAATGATCAGTTTTCTATTTTCTTCTGTTGTGTTGTTAAATTGTTTAGTAGTTCCTTGTAAAAAAAATTATAAAACTCTAACTTTTTTTCTCGTTAAGCAACAACAAAATAAAAACTGCTACACACCCATACAACCATGAGAGAGAGAGATTTTTTTCTACTGTTCTTGGGTCGCTTTCATGTTTGTTTGGTGTCAATTTGAACTTAAGAGTCTATTTTTTTGTTTAATCCCTACCCTATTAAGAAAAATAATACCGATGTTTAACTGGAAGCTTTTATAACTTTTCATTTACCTGGATTGTCCACTTCCATTTTTATATTATAGTTACCCACCCACACTCGTCTTTTCCTTTTCCGCTTTGTGTTAGTTCTGTTAAGGTAACATCCGTTTTCACCTTCATTATTCGGAACTTCACTCAGATTTTTTTTGTTTATGAAATCATTTGAGATATTACTATTCTCCATTCTATTTTTTCTTTTATGAGTTATACAGTGTGTACCTGTGACACTGACTGAATTAATATAGCCATTATCGACTATTTGCACTTATGAAGAAGCCCTATGTTCAGGTTGATTTATAAAAAAAAAAATGTATTATACTGGAAAAAAGACCACTTTAACTTTTTTTTTTTCTTGGATTTCAAATAGGAGACAAATTAATTTTAAACATTTAAGATGTATAAAATTACGATCTGCTTAACAATTTAACATAAGTTAAAAAATAAATAAAAAGTTTACTGAGAAACTTGATGCTTCAGCTTAACTTGATGTAGTTCAGGTTATTTGAGCATGGGGATCGTAATTTATTTCTTTAATTTTGTTTTATACATTTGTTTTTTGATCTACAAATACTAATAGATGACACTTTTTATTTATAAAAGATTAGCAAATTTTGTTTGGAAAAAAAAAACAAAAAAAACTAACGCATGCACAAAAATTCAAAACAAATGTTTGAACACTCAGTCAAAACTACTCTCTTTTTAATTGTTAATGTTCTTAAAGGGTATTTTTGATAAGACGCCAATAAGCTTAACACTGATCAGTAATAAACACACGTTTTCATATACTGTATTTTTTTTTTTTGGAAAAGAAAGTGCACGATTCCTGTGGTACGTATTAAATAAAATTTACCCCCACCACCTAGAGAGGGGAGAAAAAAAAAATTAAAGTATAAGTTGGTGTCAATATGGCTACTGCTGTCACGTGACTGCTACTGGAAATGCCAAAACATAAAAAGAACCTTTCATCTGATTATTTTTTGTATCTTTTTAAAATAATTGTAAAGTATTTTTTCACTTTCAATTTTTCATCTCACTATGTCACGTGGTAAAACGGCCATATTGATAAAATCATACTTTTTTCTTTTTTTTTTAACAACGAACCCCTCCAAACTCGGGTGCTAGATAAAATAAAAGAAGCCTTGCTCTAGTCTAGAGTCTAACTAGTAGGAGGGAAATAAAGAAAACACTTGTAGGGAAGTTTTCGTAAGATCCAGCCATTTGACAAGAAACTTGAGAAAAGATCTTTCCATTTTAAAACTAAGGTTTCCATTTCTTTTTCAACATTATTTTAAATTAAAATCTATTTGACTTGTGTACTGTTTCACACCTTAATATTTTCAACGTTGTAGCATTCATAGAAATAAAAACACGAGTGTTCTGGCTTGGGAAATGAAAAAGCAAAACACTTAAAAATAAAATTAAAGGCGGAATGCTACAACTAACACTACAAAATTAGTTTGGTCACGTGACAGACTATCGTAAATTGTACTATAACGAGGAAAAGTAGTATTAATTTAAATTTTAAATACTTCTAAAAATTTTCTGCTTTGTATTATTATTTTGTTTTGAACATAATCTAATTTTTGTAATATAAACAAAAATAAACATGTCAATGTATAGAAAGTTTGAGATGGGAAAAGGAAATACGATGAGTTTTTTTTTTTTTTTTTTACTAGTATCTTGGAATAAAGAAGAATGTAATGTAAACTAATACTAAACTGCATTATTATTTTTTTTTCATCGTTTCTTTTCTTAACATTCAAAGAAAACTATTTCTGACCATATTCACATGAAGCTGCTACCCTCGTTTGATTTACCGCTATTTTTAGGTAAATCAACAATTCTCCTGGGGCTATTGCCTAAATTATATTTGGTAATCGCATCATCATACTCGATTTATATTTATCTTTTCGTGTGACTTTTTCGTTGTTTCTGTTAGTTACCATATTTTAATTTTTTTTTTATTGTACAAACTTAAGAATTTGATATGTAAGGTTTGTATTATAGTAGCAATTCGTCATTTGTATTGTGTAGCAATATTAATTTTTTTCCCCACTTTTATTTTTTATTTTATTTTTTTAAGTGATGAGAAAATTGCATTTCTTTTGTTGAAATATGTTCCTGGCTAATTAAAAATAATTCTTTTTAGTTTTTTTTCATTGAATTATTATTTTTTTTTAAATTTACTTTGCATCTCTTCATTTTATGTGTAGTGGGGAGGGAAAGAAATGTATCCACATTATTAACACTTGAACTCCGCCCTGAAATTTATCGAGCAAACATTTTAAAAAGTGTTTACTGCTTGACTGGAGTTTTGTGTCGGGTCTTTTTTTGCTATTAACCAGCAACTTTTTTTTTTCTTAACTAATTGTCGTCATCTTCATTCGTCTCCATTGTTGCTTCTTGTTCCCCTTTCACCGGATTCTGACTTCAACGGAACCACTCTTCCTCGGTTGCCACTACTAAATCGCTACCTAATGTAGCACTACGCTTTGTTTTATTTCACTTCACGAACCTTATATTTTCACTTCCAACAAATTACAGCAATTGATATTTCATGTATGATGTAGGCAGATTAAAACAAAAACTTTTTAAAAAGATGTATAGAGATCCCCCAAGAAACTTTACAATCTTTTATTTTTTATAATTAGTACCCCCCTTTACGTTATGCGAAAATTTCAAATTCAGGAGACATACTTTTTTTTTTTTTTTTTTTATTCGGGGATCTCTTAAAAATTAAAAAAATGATAGCGGAAAAAAATGCCGGCGGCTTGCGCGCTATTTTAACGTTTGGCAACAGTGACTTGAAATTAAATCCTCTTAGTAATTTACTTGAAAAATAATTTCTGTGATTTTTTTTTTTTTTTTTTTTTTTTTTTTTTTATTTTTAGTTATTATATGGCCTCTTGTTTTTTTTTTTTTAACGTGATTGAAAATGTTGCACGTTATTAAAAACGTTTGACTTTGAATTGAACAAACAATAAATGATAAATGCAACAGTTGAATGAAAAAAAAATACTATCGGTTTTTAAAATGTTTGCAGTTAGATTTCGGAGGTAGTAACTAATTTGACATATGGTCTTTCTCAGTTTGGGAGAATTGGTTCCCACGCAATAGACATTACCTTAAAATTAACAGCAGGAATTGTATGTTGAAAAATAGAAACATTTGATTTTTAAATGAAGTTTAATTGGATGTTTCCAGTTTGATGTCGGTCGTTCGGTACTATGATGACGACTGCTGCATAATATTCTGATCAGTTATTATAATCATTATTATTTGACGTACATTTAGTAATTTTTAAATGTTTTAAATCATTTACTTGTATATTGAAACTTTGAAGTTTTTAAACTAAAGTTATTTTCATAAATGAAGAAAATAATTTGCTAATTGTTGGAGATGTAAACTAAAAAATTACCTCTCTCTACTGACTTAGTTTTACTTTTACCTGAATTAATCAAAAATCTCATTATTCAAGAATGAACCTATTTTCCTCCTAAGTAATTGACTTGGCTAGGACCGCTTTAATAATTAACGCTTTTTAGTCAAATCAATTAAGGCTTAATTTCTTTATCCTTTTTAACAACTGAAGTGAAAATTATTTAAACTAAACATCACTTGAACCTTCCTTACGTTCACTTTCTTTGTAGTATTCCCAGAAAATTCTGTTCTTCATAATGCACTCGAATTTGATTTGGATAGCAGCAGCACATTTTAATTTTTTTTTTTTTTTTTAATGAATCTAAAAATCTTTATCACTTATTAACTTGACAGATCTAGGATTATCATATTTTATTTTATAACTACTTTACCTGTTCTTTCAAAAAAAAAAAAAAATAAATAAAATAACGGAAATAAGTAATTTTATATAATTATATTTTCTGCGTGACTAATATGCCTATATTAACTTTGTTATCGCATGTAAGAAAAAATTACCTTTTAAAATCAAAGTAAAACTATCCAAAGTAATCTAACAGCAAAACAAATACAAAAGTAGTGGTGGACGAGCAATGTCGTAACTTGTTTTTACTACTTAATGAGATATTTCGTTGTCGTAGTAACACTGGGCACGTTCACTTGTTGGTGCTGAGTAATGACACCTAGAATCTCTCATTAGTCAGTCTAGTAAGTAAGAGAAATCAGGCTGTGTGACCGATATAGTCATTTGTGTTTTAGAAAGATGCTTCAATTTGTCTTTAAGCACAAAAATGTGATGTCACAACTTTTCACTTAGATATTCATTGCTTAAATGTCTGCCGTCATAACAAGGAGACCTGATATCGTAATTAAACTCTTTACTCTGTCCCCTATTTATTGACGGGTAAATACCTTTTGAAATGCATTTATTTCTGGACACTCAGTCATTCTGAACCTACTTGTAGCTGTTTTTGACTTAACTGTTAGTTAAAAGTCTTAACATTAAAATTGCATAAATGACAATCAAAATTTATCACCTTCTGCATGTAATGACTTGTTTCCTTTAACACAAAATTTATTTGCCTATTTGTTTAGTTTTTTGTAATTGAGCCTCCAGGTTGTATTTCCTTCACATATTTATAACACTTAAGTGTGAGGATCAAGTTTATAAAACTAATAAATTATTAGTATTAATAAATTATTATTAAATGTACCAAGATAAAATGTTTAAACAATTCCGTATTGAGAATAAGAGTGAATATAC